GATCGAGGTGGATCTTTGTGCAATCACTAAGCACGCTGTTTTCAAAAAATTAAGGTTATGAAAATGCTCATGACATATTAAGTGGGAAAAGTAGCTTTAAAACGTACACGTATGTGGCTTGTTTTTGTTTTTGACAGTCTTACTCTGTTGCCAAGGGTAGAGTTACAGTGGCATCATCATAGCTCACTGCTACCTCAAACTCCTGGGCTCAAGCCATCCTCCTGCCTCAGCCTCCCAAGTAGCTGGATAAAGGCGCATACCACCAAATGGCTAATTTTTCTCTTTTTTTATAGAGACAGGTCTCACTATTTCCCAGGCTTTTCTCGAACTCCGGGCTCAAGTGATCCTCCCACCTCAGTCTCCCAAAGTGCTAGGATCACAGGCGTGAGTCACTGCGCCCAGCCTCAAGTTTGTATTTTAATCCCAATTTTATTTTACAGACATGTCACACACAAATGCACACACATGCACACTATCACATAAAGTAAAATCATATAAATGTTAACAGTGTAATGTTATTGGGGGTTATTTCTATATACTTTATTTTCCAAACTTTTATTGATAACAAAGAAGATTTTTATAACTGATTTTGAAATCAATCAATATTCTCTAATATTTCAGCCTGCCCTGCTCTAATAAAATATGCAAGCCACGTATGACTTTAATTTCATTAGCCACCTAGAACAAAGTAAAAAAGAACAGGGAATCATTTTGATAATTTGATATATATTATTAACCCAATAATGCAAGTATTGTCACATGAATCAATATAAAATTACTTATAGAGGCCGGCGCGCGCGCGCTCAACCTGTAATCCTAGCTCTCTGGAGCGGCGGGCGCGTCGCTCGAGGTCAGGAGTTGAAACCAGCCTGAACAAGAGCGAGACCCCGCTCTACTATAAAAATAGAAGAAATTAATTGGCCAACTGATATAATATAGATATAAATTAGCCTGGCATGTGCGACATGCCTAGTCCCAGCTACTCGGAGCTGAGCAGAAAGATCGCTTGAGCCAGAGATTGAGGTTGCTGTTGCTAGGCTGACGCCATGGCACTCACTCTAGCCTGGGGCACAAAGCGCAGACTTCTGGTCTCAAAAAAAAAAAAAAAATTACTATAGAGATAGTTTACATGATTTTTGTTATACTAGGTCTTTGAAATCTAATATGTGGAAACAGCCACATTTCAAGCGTTCAATAGCCAAATCAGGCTAGTTACTCCCCCATTTTGGATAGCATAGTTTATATCCACCGATATTACCGTCAAAACCACCAATTACTAATGTAATACAATAATTAAAAAATGCTAATTATTTGGTGCTTAGTATGTGCCAAGCACCATGCCGGGTGTTTTGCCGTCATTATCTTATGAGGAAGATGAGAAAATGGGACTCAAAATGATGAAGTGGCATGACCAAAGTCACTCAGCTCCCAAGAAACTCAACTGAGAGTTAAATACAGATTTTTCCAGCTGGCTTTAGTTGCTAAACTCTTTCCCACAATGCTACTGTGTCTATCCATTCATAAAACTATCAAATCACAGGGTTGTGATTTACATAAGGGAATAACACAGTGGGATATACATTGTTTTCAGATGACCAAGGAAGATTTACCAAGAGAGACCATAAAACAAGTCTCGATAAATTTGAAAGGATTCACATCAAATCCTTTTTGTGGATTTACCTGAGAACACCTCAAATATTTGGAAACGAATAGCGCACTTCTAAATAGCCCATGGATCAAAGCAGAAATCAAAAGTGAAATGTAAATGAAAACACAACATATCAAAATTTGTGGTACATAGGCAAAGCAGTACTTGGAGGGAAATACATAGCACTAACATGACTATATTAAAAAAGATGAAAGAACCCGGGCACAGTGGCACATGCCCGTAATCCTAGCACTCTGGGAGGCCGAGGCAGGCAGATCGTTTGAGTTCAGGAGTTCGAGACCAGCCTGAGCAAGAGCGAGACCCCCATCTCTACTAAAAATAGAACAAAATTAATTGGCCAGGTAAAAATATATAGAAAAAAAAATAGCCGGGCATGATGGCACATGCCTGTAGTCCCAGCTACTCGGGAGGCTGAGGTAGGAGGATCGCTTGAGCCCGGGAGTTTGAGGTTGCTGTGAGCGAGGCTGATGCCACCCATACTCTTGCCGGGGCAATAAGAGTGAGACTCTGTCTCTAAAAACAAAAACAAAAAAAAGATGAAAGGTCTCAAAATCTTAGGGTCAGAAAGAACCATCAGGAAGCCAACTATGAAGTTTGAAACCTCTTACAGCACTCTCTCAAGTGGTCGTGTTCTCCTGTCTACAGCCCCCTGCCCATATAAGGGAGCCCCTGCTTATAGAAACAGCTTATTCCTGTCTTCGGACACTCTGGTCTCAGTTTCCCTTTACAAACAGGGCAGGTGCTGGTTACCTTTGAGCCAGACGCCGAGTAGACAACCTTGTTTGCTTCATCTACACGAAGGCTCCAGCTCCGAGGCTCCGCGGGAGTGTTGGCGCCATCATCCCAAATGGTGAATTTCTCCTGGCCAGAGAATAAATCCCACCAGCGCAGCGTGCGGTCCTTCGAAGCAGAGATGGCCCGGGTCCCCTTGGCAAACACTTCCACACACCTCACCTCTCCTGCGGCGGGCCAGGGTGGGAGAGGGTGTATATTAGCTGGGGACATGCTGACCAGGCAGCCACCAAGATGCCTGTTGGCTTACAAATACCCTGGTTTACCAAAGAAAAGACGGACGGGTTTGAACACGTGCAAGTTGAGAAGAATGGAATGTGGCAAAGTAAAATTAAGAAAGAGCACAACGTGTTGGGATTCCATCAGTTGCCCCAGATGTTGAATTTGTAATAAGCAAAGATAACTGAATTTTATAAAGATTTAGCATCCAGGCCGGGCGCGGTGGCTCACGCCTGTAATCCTGGCGCTCTGGGAGGCCGAGGCGGGCGGATCGCTCGAGGTCAGGAGTTCAAAACCAGCCTGAGCAAGAGCAAGACCCCGTCTCTACTATAAATAGAAAGAAATTAATTGGCCAACTAATATATATATAAAACTAGCCGGGCATGGTGGCGCATGCCTGTAGTCCCAGCTACTTGGGAGGGTGAGGCAGGAGGATCGCTCGAGCCCAGGAGATTGAGGTTGCTGTGAGCTAGGCTGATGCCATGGCACTCACTCTAGCCTGGGCAACGAAGCAAGACTCTGTCTCAAAAAAAAAAAAAAAACAATACTCATCGGATATTTTAATACATGTGTACATGTATAAAAGTTTCTCTTTATCCCTTCTCCACTAGGGTTCTTTGAGAATTTCTATAAAAATAGAAAATTAGCCAGACACGGTGCCACACGCCTGTAGTCCCAGCTACTTGGGAGGCTGAACCAGGAGGATCACTTGAGCCCAGGAGTTTGAGGTTGCTGTGAGCTAGGTCGACGGCACTGCACTCTAGCTCGGGCAACAAAGAGAGACTCTGTCTCAAAAAAAATGAGTCAATAGATACAAATAAATGTTTATGGCAAAATGTTGGTATATGTTATATATAAAATTATATACATTCTTAGATTGCAATGATAAAATATCCTTAACATCTTTATTGAGATATTATTCACAACCATAAAATTTGCCCATTTAATGTACAATTATACGATTCAATGGTTTTTTTAGTATGTTCACAGAGTTGTACAACCATCACCCCCATCTAGTTCCAGAACACTTTCTCCGCCCCAAAAGGAGACCCCGTTCCTATCAGCAGTCACTCCCCACTCCCTGGCCCCCAGCCCCTGGCAACCACTGATCTGCTTCCTGTCTCTGTGGATTTCCTGTTCCGGGGTGTTCCGTATCCATGGAGTCACACGCTGTGTGGCCTTTGGCGACTGCTTCTTTTATTTGATATGATTTCCAGAGCTCCACCCTCTTCACTTGCTGGCTGTTCTGTAGACACCCCGACCTCTTTCCCCTCTCCCGGCTTCTGCACTTGCTTTCCCCTGTGCCCGGGAGGCTCTTTCCTCTTCGTACCTTTCTGTGTGTCGGCTGAACGCCCCAGCTCAGAGAAATGCCTTCCCCGGCAGCCCTAAGCGATCACCCTTTCCCTCATTACACTCAGCACAGCTTGCAACTACATTTCTGTACCCCTCCTCTTCCCAGATACAGGAGTCTCACTTGGAGCAGTCACTGGAGTCACTTGCCTTGGGTGCAAAATTTAAGGAAGTGCTAAATCACCGTGGGTTTTTTCCCCCTTGGCCTCTGACTGCAGCACGGCTTGGCACGGCACTGTACCGACGCTGTCTGTCTTTATTTAAGACAAGCTGATACTGTATTCTTGTTGCATTTTTTTTGCATTCCAGTTGTCCCTCAGTATCCTTACGGGATTGGTTCCAGGACTTCCCTTGGGTTCCAAGATTCATGCATGCTCTAGTCCCTGCTATAAACTGGCGTGTTACTAGCATATAACTTAACACGTATATTCCCGTATATTTTACATCATGCCTACCATGATTTATGATACCCGATACAGGGTAAATGCTATGTAAATAGTTGAGATACTGTATTGTTTAGGAAACAATGACAAGGAAAAAATAAGTCTGTACAAGTTCAGTACAGACGAAACTATCCTTTTTTTTCCCCCCAAATATTTTTTGATCCAGAGTTGGTTGAATCCTTGGATGTGAAACTTATATATGTGGGGGGACAACTATACTTTTGATTTTTCAAAACATTGTATTAAACTATTATTTCTCCCATGCATGGCAAGGTGGTGCACACCTGTGGTCCCAGCTACTTGGGAGGCTGAGGTGGGAGGATGGCTTGAGCCCAGGGGTTTGAGACCAGCCTAGGCAACATAGTGAGACTGTCTCTAAAAAATAATGATAAAAAAATTTTTTTAAAAAAAGTAATTACTTTCCTTGGTGACTGAGAGAAGATGAATAATTTTCTACCCTACTCTCTCTTCAGTGCTTAGAATAGGGCTTTGTACACAGTAGGCACTCAATAATTGATTAAACAAATGAACCACATCTGTTGAACTATGTAGAAATGAAAAGCCTTGCTAAAGGTCTGAGGTAGACAAATTGCAACAAAGGACCACAATTCTTTACCCTCCCTGATCCATACCCTTGGTGATGTGACCTTGCAGCACCTTCCATCAAAAGAGGAAGCCTATTCCCCTACTCATTTACTCTGGGCTGTTCTTGTGACTTCCCTTGGCCAATAGGAACTGGCCAGGGTGACAGTTCCAAGTCTGGGCCTTAAGAGATCTTGTGAACTTCTACTTGTTTTCTGGAAACCCTGCCTTTGCCGGGGCTAGGCTCCCGAGAGATGAGAGGACACGTACAGCAGAATTGAGCCGTCTCAGCTGAAGACATTCTGACCCAGCCAGCTCCCAGGGCGTCCACTAACTGCCTACGGATGCAGGAGCAGAAGAACTGTCCGGCTGAGCCCAGCCTGAATTGCCAGTTCTCAGAAGGCGAGCTAGAGAAACAGCTTGTTTGAAGCCACCGTGTTTCGGGGTGCTTTGCTATGCAGCTCTGGCTAATCGATGCAGGGAAATGAATCTGTGGGGAAGGGGTTCTGGGGACTGCCTGTTCTCTGTGGAACACCGGGAACAAGCGGATCATAAACCCCACTTCCCGAGCCTCACCTGTGTGTCCGGTTAGAATGTGCGTCACCTGCTGGTCTTCCATGTCCCACACAGCCACGATGCCGTCCTGGGTGCCAACCACCAGCAGCATCTCCTCCACGCCCCACGCCATGGCAGTGATGCCTGCAGCCACGCAGAGACAACAGCCATGACCTCAGACCCCGTGTGCAAGTGCTCAGCCACGGGCTTCTCTAATAAGCCCCCGAGTCACAGATCAGAAAACTGAGGCTCGGACAGATCCGGTCCCTTTCTCAAAGCCACGCAGCTAGGATTTCAAAGCCTGGGCTGCCTGTGATGTCTTTACGTTGCTCTTAGGTAGAAAAAAAGGACCGAACCGCAGCGCAGCCATACCTGTCTGTCTAGCCCAGCGTCTCTCACCCAGGGGCAACTCTGTCCCCCAGGGGACACACATGTTGGTGTATGCAGACATTTTGGGGTGCCAAAGCTGGGGACAAGGGTGCCGCCACCGGCATCTGGTGGGTGGATGCCAGGGACGATGCTCAACACCCTACAATGCACAGGACGCCCCCCACACACAGAGAGTGATCCAGCCCCAAATGTCAACGGTGCCGTGGTTGAGAAACCCTGCCCTAGTCCGATATGACCCAAAAATAGAAATATAGGCCAGGCACGGTGGCTCACACCTGTAATCCAGGCACTTTGGGAGGCCGAGGTGGGAGGATCACTTGAGCACAGGAGTTCGAGAAAAGCATTGTACATAGCATCTCTCAGAATTTCTATTTTGGAACGAATGTGCCTAGGGAGTGCAGCTTTGGCTGCCAGGTCATGTGGTACAGAAAGAGCCCGCATGGTAATGACTCTGACCATGTGAACCGCAGGCTAATTATATTCAGTGGCCTCACAATCAATGTGAGAGACTGTGGGTGGGGAGATGAAGGGATGTGTGAATGGAGGTGGATGTGTGGATAAGTGGAGAGACAGGTGGTTGGCGGGATGAGTGGGTGGGGGAAGGGACAGGCGGGCAGGTGGACAGACGGATGAGTCAGTATCTAGATGGTAGGCAAGTTGATGAACGGCTGAGTGCATGGATGGGTGGAAGGGAGAGTGAGTGGATGGAAGATGGCTGGATGAGGAAAATGGAAGGGCAAGTGGGCAGAGGGGTAGATATATGAGAGGATATACGAGTAGAAAGAGGAGTAGAAGCATAGATACCTGATGGGTGGATAGATGAAAGGAAGGAAGGAAGGAAGGAAGGAAGGAAGGAAGGAAGGAAGGAAGGAAGGAAGGAAGGAAGGAAGGGAGGGAGGGAAGGAA